AGACAGTGCGGCCGTGGCATAAGCAGGCGCGACAAAAAAAAAAAAAAAAAAAAAAAAAAAAAAAAAAAAAAAAAAAAAAACCACGACCTCCACCTCCTGTTTTTGCCAATTATGGCCGTCGAACACGCAGTTTACTGTTTTTCTTGCAGTTTCGAACTGGTCTTCGCCCAAGCTTGCAGTGGACTGTTATTCCTTCCTGCGAATTCCAAACTATGCAGCAGTCACCCACGCAGTTATTTCTTCAGACTTTCAATTTTTCTTAATTTTCTCAGAGCATTCCAACAAAAGAAAACACAGAGACGACTTACACAACCTCAAACCTGCATTGGCGGCAGCACGCCACAACTCAGGGTCTGTTACTGCCGCAGAGAGAGTCATATCTTCTTCTTCTTCTTCTTCTTCTTCTTCTTTCTATAAGAATCCTTTCTGATACCAAAACTGCTGTGATTCATTAGCAGAAATGGAATGATCTTCTTCTTCTTCTTTCTACTGTGACGGTCTTGAGGTGTCATCATCGAACTGACCGGCCCAAGGTAATTCAGAATTGTAGTATTTTAATAATTTTACTCATCTGCTTCCAGTGGAGGTCGAACTCAGGTCTGTATTTCAATAGTTCAAGGGGTGTACCAACTGAGGCAGGCCAGTTGATCTTCTTGGTTCAAAGTTGCAGCCCAATTCTTCTTCTTGGTTTTTTGGAGTCCTGCGGACCAGAGCCGTGTAAATGTCTTTTTATGGAAACTAGAGTCTGAAGCCGTTAATGCGAAAAAAGAAGGGGGAACTCCCATCTGTACCCACTGTGAAGATGGCAAATTGCCCGTGTGTCAGGGAAACCACCCATCTTGCGTGTATACCCAGAAAATGCCCTGGGGAAATTGTTTGCCTGCCTCATCCACAGTTGGTATCGCCAAATTGCAATTCTACCCAAATACCAGACTGCATAAATTACAGATACATACCCGAGGCAAATTATGGATATATACTTAGCGGCCGTTCGGCCACAATGCTCCCCTCTCTCTCTCTCTCTCTCTCTCTCTCTCTCTCTCTCTCTCTCTCTCTCTCTGTGTCCGCGTGTGCGCGCGCGCGCGTGTACGTGTGTGTTGTTGGCGAGGAGGGGCGGGCGATGGTAGGAGATGGTAAGATGGGTGGTTGGCGTCTTTGAATTGGGTATATAAATGCAATTTCCGGGTAGTTCCCGTCTTTGAATTGGGTATATAGATGCAATTTCCGTCCCCCAAAAAGCGGCCTCGTTCATCCTGCCAGCTGTGCACATCCCTTTAGATGAGACCAAACGCACGGGCGCAGCGAACCAAAAAAAAAAAAAAAAGCTTCCTAAGTTTTAACCTGCAAACGACATATCTCGTTGGTTGCTGCCATTTTGTGTTCATGACAATAGGTGTACACGTGCGCGCCCGCGCGTGTGCGCGGGCGGTGTGGTGTGTTCCACTTGGTGGGTGTATCCGCGCGTTCGTGAATTGGGCTTCTTCTTCAGGTGCTTTTCCTCACTGCTCTTCGAAAATGGAAAATATGAAAACAACTGGCGGTCGTATGCAATTTAAAAAATGGCAGTCTTATACCCCTTTTAAAGAATGGCGATCTTATACCCTTTTTGAAAAATGGCGGTCTTATACCTTTTAAAAAAAATGGCTGTCTTATACCCCTTTAAAAAAATGGCGGTCTTACACCCCTTTTAAAAAATGGTGGCCTTATACCCCTTTTAAAAATTGGTGGTCTTATACCCCTTCTAAAAATGGCGGTATTATACTCCTGTAAAAAATGGCGGTCTTATACCCTTTTTTGAAAAATGGCGGTCTTATACTCTTTTTGAAAAATGGCGGTCTTATACCCTTTTCGAAAAATGGCGCGGTCTTACCATACTCTAATGTGTGATCGATGGACTGCAGAGGCGGCAAAGAAATCTTTGCCTGGACAGTGGACGAGGAAACGGACATGGAGAATATGATAGAAGAAGGAGTGGACGTTGTCATAACGAATGATCCGCTAAGATTTCGGGCCGTCCTCTCGAGATACCTATCTCTTTGTGAGCGGGCACAACTCAGTCTATGACTCTACGATGCATCAGAGGAACGCAGTTACTACGGTAAGCCTACCGTACATATCGTAGTGAAGAAAGAGGGCCGCATTTTTTTTTATTTTTATTTTTTTTTCCCGTTGCCTTCTACGAACAACCGCCAACTTTCCACATTTACCAACCAAAACCAAAGCCGAGAACCCGCAGTGAAGATTCCTTGAAGTAGCCTCTAGATTAGGTGAGATTAGTTGAAATAAAAGTTACGAGCAATTTTTGGAATTACTATGTTATAGGAGGGCTCAGATATGGGAATAGGGATGAATCCAACCTTACGACCGAAAACCCAGCTCCCTATTAGAAGAGTAATTTTCAGTGTCTAGATGGACAGAACCCCCAACCTATCACCAACTCAAGATCACTATTCAAACAGATCTATAGCAAGAGATAGCTCTAGCCTATGCCAACGGCTAGAAATTAAAATCTGCTAATCCAAGTTATAATGGCCATAGTCAAAAAAAAAAAAAAAAAAAAAAAAAAAAAAAAGACTCAGCCCCAATAGACAAAACCCAGCCATAGATCTCTACATAAGGCCGGTAATCCGAAGAATTCCAAAGGAAAATTCACCAAACAGGTGAGCTCCTCACGACAGCAGTCCCACCACTGCCAGTTGCCCTCCCACTGCTTCTGGAAGCGCTGCTGTCTGAGTCGCCAATGGCCACGTACTAGATCTTCACATTCATCAACATGTAATTTTCCACGTATTTAGCCCGTAAAGGAGGTAAATACCGCAGTTAGAAGAGCCACCCATGCATCTTGAAATCCATTGTATCAGATCTTTGGATATCCTCTCTTACATCATGAGAGTCTGCATGTACTGATTAGCTTATGTTCCTTGCCGACGAAATTACTCAAGTTCTTGGCGTGTGCTCCTCACCACAGTAGTCCCATCACTGCATCACGTGTGACTCTCCCGACAACAGTTCTTGGCGTGTGCTCCTCATGCAGTGATGGGACTCAAGTACATGCACTGATGATTACCTCGTCAAGAACTTTCGTGACTCATCAGTGCATCACGTGTGACTCTCCCGACAACAGTCTCACCACCACCGGTTGCTCTCCCACTGCCTCCGGAGGCGCTGCCCTTGGATGCGCCATTGGCCATGCCCTAGACTTTCACTCACCTTCATTGCCAATTGACAGATAATTCACCATCTATACATCCTGCGAAAGAGGCTTGATACAGAACAGAGTTCATGTGCCGAACCACTCTGCAGGCCGCAACTCCTTTTAGTCCGAGTAAGGTGCCAGAGGACCGGATTCTCCCTGCCCCCTGGTATTCCACAGGGGGAAACGTCGTAAAAGTATACCACGGGGGAGATGGAGAACGCCTTGGAATTGACAAACATGATGACGTCCTCCCACGCCCACGCCCTGTAACCCGCGCCTTGCTGCCGACGCAGGCGCCGCCGTTTCCGTTTCCGGACGACGATACCATCGGTAACGCAGCTCTTCCACACGCGCCGCATTTGTCCAAAGGGATACATGGTATCTATTTGTGAGCGGGAAAACTGTTTGCGAGGGGGGGCGCGGAAAACGAGTATGAGTATGCGTCCTTGGGGACATCGGTTAACATTGGACGGATACAGAGAAAATTACCATGGCCCCTCCGAGAAATGGTCAAAAAAAAAAAAAAAAAGGAGTATGCCCCTCCGCAAGGGTAAAGACAGGTCAGGTCAGCAAAAACCCTCAATCCCCTCCAATGCCCGGGCCAACCCTCTCGTGGGCAGCATAAATAAGGTGAAGCTCTGTCGAGACTAAGGGCATGCTCACACTGCAACCCCAAATCCGCAAAAATCCACAAAATATGTGGATTTGGGATGGACCGATTTGAGGTTTTGGGCATGGTTCCGGTCGCATTGCTGTACCTTTTCAGATGGGACAAGGCCCTGGCCATCTGGAGCAATGGCGATTTGGTACTTCGCCGGTCCCACGGCGCCATCCACAAATTGTGCAAGAACTTTCGTGAATGAATTTTCACCAATTCTCAAAGAAAAAGCGAAAAAATAAATAGGGCATTTGTCGTCACCTCCGGAGGTGACCGCAAATCCCCTTGCCCCGCGGCTACACAGGCCGCTGACAAATGGGGACACGAATGGTACATCTAGGACTCTGGCAAATCTGTGTAACTGGTCCTCTACCTTTTCTGTGGGGGAATTTAGGATTTTATAGGTCCTGGTGCGAGTATGCCCTCAGCCGAGCGGGAGGCTGCGAAAATGTCGAAAAAACTGTGAAGACGGTGATTGCACGAAGCTTGCCCCCCAATTAATTTTTTTATTTTTATTTTTATTGAAAATTTTGGACCATTTCTCGATTTATGCGTGTCATCCTTGCGCAGGGGCCATGCTTATCTTCTCTGTATCGTTCCAATTTCAACGGATGTCCCGAGGGACTCCCCCCCAATTCATTATGATCGGCCGCGGGCAGCTTTCCGTAACACGGACAGAGACTGTTACATGCTGCACATGCACACACGGACCATTTTGCAGGCCCGAAGTCGTTCAGGCCAAAAACCTGAATTTCGGGCTTTAAGCCTGATATCCAAGGCTTACAGGCCCCGCCGACGGTTCAGCCTGACAGCCCAAGAAAGGACCTACAGGCTCCAGCCTGTTTCCCTACAGGGAAACTTCCAGGCTCTTGCCTGGAAGCTTCCTTCTGACAGGGCCTACAGGCCCCAGCCTATTTCACTACAGGGAAACTTCCAGGCTCT